TCTAGAGAGTTATTGTGGTGCACACAAGAAGGTGAGTGACTCAAGTTCCTTTACTGAGGGTAAGATACATGAGCAGGCACGTAGAGAGCCCCGCGCGTCAAGTCCATCAAAGCCACAACATCCACGTACGTACGGCATATCCCCCGGAGATCTCGGGTAGTACCCGTATTTTGCCGAAGACACACAAGCAGCCCCACCAAAAAAAAAACTCCTCACGTATCACCAGGTAAGTCGCAACATGTCTTTATTCACCCGACATCCAATGCACACTGGGATTGCAGAATACTAACACAGTGAGTAGTCCTCCTTCATCCAACAAATATATTCCGCACAGGGTTTTTCCCGCCAATTGTACTTGTCGCCGCATGTGACGATTCGCAAAGCGGTGGCTACAACACACGCCGCAGTTGGTAGGGACCACGCCCGGTAGTGTGAGGTGTTGTTGGGGACACTCGCGGATGACTCTTGCTCGCTGCTCTAGTCCCGCCGATCTGTACAGTAGTGGTCCCCTCATATTTAGTTCTGGTTGTGTTTGCAACTTTGATTACCCCATGAATGAATGTATCCCATATCGTGTCGATATGTCGGGGATAATATCCGATATCTGCATGTTTTCGCATGTTCATGTCCATGCGATCTCGCAGGGTTTTGAGGCAAGATATCGAGATATCATGTCCATATCGCATGATATCCGATATATATCCCGATATCGTATCGATATCGCATGATACGAGATACGATATAATTTCCAGATATCGTATCCACATCCCGACTTTTGGGGGGAGATATATCGATATCGTATCTTGGCGTTTCCAAATGTGATACATGTAGTGCCGGTTGATTAGTGCCAAAGTCCGGTATAGTGCCGGTAAAAATTCTGGACACACTCACAGGCCTGAATAGTGCCAAACCGTCACTATTGAGGGCTGCCCGCTATAGTGCGGGTTCAGGCACTATCGAACCCCTAAATAGTGCCGGTTCACACCCCACACAGCCTTTTTTCGCCTCAAGTCTTCCACGCCAACAGGGTTCGGAGACTGTTTCCCTTCGAGGTACAACAATAGCTCGGGTTCTCTCGGTACGCGTGACGTCTTCAAGTTTTACGGTTTACCGATCGACTAGGGTCCACCAATAGGCTGGGATTTCAGTGGTGAGGCGAGCGTAAAGGTAAATGGGTGACGAAGGATGTGGAAAAAATAGCCAAGGATAGCAGTGATGATGCAGGAGGAAAATATGGCGTTGAGGGGAACAACAAGAGTTTCGAGCGAGATGACCTTCCTCACAACAAACGCCGCAGGGGCGCAGAATCTGGAGATGCAAGCCCGAAAAAAGTGGAAAAATAATTGTGAAGAGTGTATAAGTGGTGGTAAATGAAATACCTTTAAGGAAGGATGAAAACACTCCGAACGCGTGTTCAAAGTATTAAGCCTTGGCAGTCACGTGGTTCTCCTCTCTCGGTTGCTACCATTTCTGTCCTTTATTTCGAGAATAGCTCGGCCTCCTCCATGACACCCTCTCTAGGCCTTGAGAAACAAATATTTTCTGTTTTTGACCGCTCTGAGACTAACGTCTTTTGGTTGGCCAGTCGTTTTTCTTGCTTCTGAAGGCTTGGTCTTCTCTCTAGCTTTTTATCGAAGGAACAGGGGAGTTAGGTATCTTTTTCACCCCTTTCACAGGTTGCATCTGCTTTTTGTGTGCTCATGTAAGGAGCACTACATCCATCCATGTTATACCTCCAAGTATACATCGGGTGCCTGCATGAACGTCTTTCTTTCTTCGCTATCGAGGGGTGCCTTTGAGGTTGTGCTAAGGCCTTCTTGCAATACAACACATAATAGTTTGATGGCGAGGTGAACTTTTATCGGGCAGCACGGTCTGCGGTTGAAAGGCGGCAGCAAAATTTCACTGGCGAGTGCTTGCGCTGAGGTGGGAAGAGAACAACTGCTGTGCAACAAATGTATCTGGTCAGTCAAGTTAATTCTAAGGGAAAACGACGCAACAGGGTATACCCTGGTCGAAAAGCGACACACCTGGGTACACAGTCATTAATAGCAGTAAATGCACTCATATCATTGGTCAGCGCCCAATTTTACCCCGGTGCGTCCGAAAAGGCGCAGGGTATACCCTGCCGTGACTACTTTTCTCAAGAACTGTACCCTGTTTTCGGAAATGTACCCTGACCTGTCGGGAAAAAAGAGACCCTTTCATCAATCATTTCCCCCGCAGGAATCTTCCCAACTCCTTTTCCCCTCCAACCATCGGATACCAAACGGTGACTCTTCCCGCCAAATAACAACCATGGCAACGGGGCAGGAATCAGTTTCCGCCCCTGCGAAACAACACCAACCGTCAACTCTTCCGCTCTACGTCAACAATGGCCGGGCAACACGTACCCCAGCACAATTGTTCCGTTTGGAAACATGCACACGTGCGTATGATACCCCGTGGACGACTGCTTGCTGCAGTCTATATTTGAGACGCACGAGTCACGCTGTGAAAGCGAGACAGATCCTGCATGGTTGACATGCACAGCACGTGCCAGTGTGTGGCGCTGTGCTGGCGGCGAGCTCGCGCCCGCAACGAGGGTGGAGGGGAGAGGCAGGACCAGCACACACAGACTCACCCTTGACATCAATCACGCACACACGAGTCTTACCCTTACTCGGACTCCTTACTCTAGCAGTAGGACACAGGTGTGTAATGAAACTCGATCACCCTCCCTGTCGGTAGAGAGAAGAACGAGTGCTCGCGTCGTATTTCATCGGCTCATCCCGCTGAAGCCTGACGTTTTCTTACTACATTGATTGGTCGGCTTGGTCGGCTGGTAAGCGTGACCGCTGCCGCTACAGCAGTAGTTCAGGCAAGAAACCCATCGCGATTGAGACACAACAGACAACGCACGCACGCACACATGCATATTTATGTCAACGATGCTGGATCGGTCTCGCTTTCACAGCGTGACCCGTGCGTCTCGCATATAGACTGCAGCAAGCAGCCGTCCACGGGGTATCGTACGCGCGTGTGCATGTTTCCAAACGGAACAATTGTGCTGGGGTACGT